GCCATTCCCATCTGTACCGGGTCGGCCCGGGCCGGGTAGCCCCAGTCGGCCCCAGCCTGGCCCGGTTGATTCCACACATCCTTGTCTTAAGCCCATGTGGGCTGATTCTACCCACCAATCAGAGGCTTGCTCTAATGGAAGGTGTGAATTTGCTGTCAGCAGTGGGTGTGTTGGCCCTGGTCGGCCTGAAGCAGACCCCCTCGAGAAGAGGGCTGAGAATGAGCCTTGGTTGGCCCGGAAAAATACCAGGCCACCCAGATATGTAAACAACCTACGCTACCCGGCCCGGGCCGACCCGGTACAGATGGGAATGGCCCAATAGATACAGCTGAACACGGTCTGGGGCTGTTCTTCTGCTTCAGGACCAGGGGTCTCATTTAGAAAGCTGAGAGGTTGATAAAGCTTGCTTACGCACAAAACAGGGTCGGAATACTGAGTAAGCAACTTTCCACGCAGACTTTGGGATTTATAAAAGAAAATGTAGTGGAAAAATGTGCGCAACTTTAAGTTGACTAAGGACCTGGCTTACGCACATTTTGGACATGGAGAACACCTGCAGTGCTGCTGTTGGGAAAGATACAAGTATGAATTTCAGCAGCATTATCACTTGTACCGCGTTGTGCGCACACAGAGCAAGCACCCCCCCCCCCCCCACACACACACACAGCCCGAAGTTCAGAGTACAGAATGAGGCAGAACGTTATGTGTCTGTGACAGTGTGAGCATCCCGTAACTGTGACCTGATAGATCATGCGCCCTGGCTACTTGGCCAGAGGGGGATGTCCCTTGTTAGCGCCTGAGACTCTCACCCTGGAGTCTGGGGATCGGATCCCACTGAGGCCCTCGTCTCTTTTTTTTTTGCCTCCACCTTCAGATCAGACCATTTTTTTTATGATATCCGCCACAGATCTCTCTGAAGAACTCACAGCATTGACGGTGCCACTCCGTGGATTTTCTCATATTTGTTTTGCAAAAGCGCTTCCTTTAATTTTTTTCTGCCTCACCCACAAGTACCTCAGTTTCTGCTTTGGTGAAATAGCGCTTCCTTGATCTGCGGTCGCCATCATTAATGGTGAAATGCTGCAACGTGCTGGCTTACGTATATGCATGAGATCCACAAGGCACTTTGCATTGACCATTTATGGCAGAAAGGGGGCGTGTTGAGGGCGGGATGTGATCAAAAACACCTGAGAACATTTCTAGGTAATTTGTGATTTATAAAGCGGAGATTGCGTGAAGCTGTGGGCACTCCATGTTTTAAAGATCACAAACCAACTTGGCGTAAGTAAAAATGTTTAGACAAAGCAGCAACGAATGTAAAATTGTTTCAAATAATTGGCTGTTTGTTTGAAAGTTGTTAATAAAGTTTTTTTAAGTAACACAGCGACCAGCATCCCAGGATGTTGTGGTCAATAATGCAATGCTCCCCGTCTCGCTTTCGAAAAATATTTGCACACTTGTCTACCACACACTCAAAGCCTTACTGTAGTCTTTCTCATGGGTCTCAGTGCTGGTGTCGGGATCGGGCCATTACCTAGTTGTGGTGCATGTTTCAAATAGGACATGCAGTCAGTGTTACTGTGGTGGGGGGTGACTTGCTCTTTAAAGTGACAGAGCCTTTAAACAGCTAATTCCGCTTTATTTGAGAGGGGTAAAGGACTTCCTAAGCATGTTTGTATCAAACTATTAAAACTTCAAAAAGTTATAAAATGTCCCTTCAATGTTATTTTAAACTTTTTTATTGCCCAAAATGGTTTTGTTTCACCTCTGAAGCACGTAAAGTTCTGCTTGGCAGATGCAAAGTTCTTTACAGGTAACATTTGTGACTATTATTATTATCATTATAGCATCAGACAAAAGTAGTCTCCAGACCCTCACAGCCTGAATCATCACCTCACTCGATGAAGACACAACAAGCCAGCTGCACTTTGCATAACATTCACATTTATTTGGTTTCAAGTCCTAAAACATTCTAAACATGCTTTTGTAACATGGATCACATTCTTCACAGGTAGTTACAGTCACAAGAAGACAGATTGTTGAAGAGAAAAACATTTCAGTTATTTGAATTATTTGTGAAAATCTTTTTCTTCCCTGAGATAAGTTAAACTTTTTTTTTATTTTTTATTCTTGCATCCTCCAAACTCCTCTCATCTTGTGCAGCAGGGTTCTGATGGTGCGACAGCACCAGGCTGGAGCCCTGTGCTGGTCTGCCTCAAAAACAAAACACAAATACACGACTCCTGCTCTTTGTGGCTCTTTTAAACATGAAAGGTTTAAAAAGTAAAAAATAAAAAAACTTCACAGTTAACCTGCTGAGTGGAGAACTAAACGGATGGACATGGATCTGAAGGTGGAGCGCCCCGCGGCGTCACCGTCTACGCCATGCGAGCTGGTCTCAGCGGTCTCGTGCCACTGCACCAGGGTCACACGAGCAACAAACGCACGTTACCACAACCAGATGTCAGTCTGACCACGGTTCACTTCAATTGATAATCGATCACAAGCAGCATCGACCGAGCCCGATATGATAATGCCCTGTCACCTTGAACCACGTTTGTTTAAAAAATAAAAGACACACGCAGATGGTCATGTGGAGAATACAGCGTTCACAGGAAGATAACGGCACATTCTGATAAGGTCGACACGCTGCTGCCAGAACGCTTCATGCATTTTACACTGACATTGAAATTCTTTCATCTTTGGTTCTGGATTCATGATAAGAGGGAAGGAGTGCAAAAAATCAGACCACATTCAATTAGCATGAAGCAGGAAAAAGAAACGAGCTGGAGGAAGAAGAGCCAGAGCATCTGCATCTACACGAGCCAACGTGTTTCAAAATAAAAGGAAACCCCTAAATGAAAGAACACTGTTGCAATGAAACCAATAAATACAAAGAAAACAAAGAAACAAGAGGTAGTTTCAGCGCAGAAATCACAAACATGGGCTCTTTTTCTGCACACAAGAATCAAAAACACATTAAACAGAAAGAAAACGTTCTCCTCTAAGAGTGGGTCGGGAGACAAACATCAGGCAATTTTATTCTGGAAAAATCCCTTTTCACTTCCACTTCCTGTCACATCTCACCCTGTTCCTGGGAGGGAAGTTGAGGAGGATTTCCTGTTTTCATCTTTGTTGCATGAATTTGTTCCTGAGCTGGTGAAGCCTAAAGGTCACGTTACCTGAACAGCCCCCCGTAAGGTTTCATCTCCACACCAAACACCTTTGTAAAGCTACGGCTGCTTTTGTCAGGCGAACATCACAAAGAGCCGTTAGCTTCACTCTCTGGTTTGGATTTTTGTAACAAAGGCAGATTTTTAACAACGTGACCAAACAAAGAAATTTAAATGTTCATTAAAGCTTGATGCAAATGTTCCCAGAATAAAGAACATTTGTTTGATTTCAGATGAAATTAGGTTGAGATTGTTTGTAATTGAGTTCAATCTGATTAAACCAAAGATTGTTAGTGTTGCCTTTAGCCCCTCCCCCTCCATACAAACACGAAAAAATAATCATAAAACATTCAAAATAACTACAGGGATACATAAAAATGAAAGGCGGGAAAGCGGCTGTCTGACGCCTTGCTGCGTTGGACTGGCAGCGTCACAAAGAACCCGACAGAATTCCCACGATGCCTCCCAACACCAGACCTCCCCTCTCCATGCCTCGCCTTCAGACTTTGTCCACTTTCTCAGAGGAAAGCGTCGGTGGAGCCTTCAGCAAAATTAGGGGGAAAAATAAAAATAGAAAAATAATTTCCTGCTAAAGGACCTACGACGTCCTGAAAGCTACATCTACTAACACTACAGGTACATCAGCACAGAGGAACTCCTGAATTCATAACACTTTACCCTGTTTAGATCCAGGTCAGCAGGGACCTGAGAGAGAGAAACACACCGGGTGGGCGGCGGCCACCGTCAGGCCGTCCGGGTCTCTCAACCTCACCCACATGTGCAAAAAAAATTTAAATAAAATTAAAAAATAAACAGGACTGCAGTTTTCCTAATTTTTCACTCATCATAAAACAGCTGAAACCTGGAAGAACCCACCAGGACCTTGGAGTGGTCAGAAACGATCCTCATGGTTCCAGTCGGAGCTAGAATACTAAAACACTGTGCTCGTGTCACCCCGACCCACCTGGTCCGGGTCCACAGAGACATGCAAACTTGGTGTAAGGTTAAGCTCGGCTGATGTCTTCCTTTGTGTTGACCTCTTTGGACACACGTCTCCAGCAGAACATCTCATCCGTGAAGCATGAGGAAGCTCCACGAGGCAGCAGGTCTGCCGTCAAAACAGAACTGTTCAGTAGACGAACGTGGTTCTGAAAGTTTCTGTCCAGTCCTGATCCTGGAGAGCCACCACCCTCCTCACAAACCAGACCAGCTGCAGGATGCGGCCTTTGAGCAGCACCGTCCAAAGAAACATCTAAACCCTGCGAGGAGGAGGCCTTCATGGTCCAGGACCTGGACAGAACTGGAGCTGCAGCCCAACCATCCGGTCTGATGATGCACCGTGCTGCGGGGCACTAAAGCCACATATCGGCTCCGTGCACGTGAGAGTGCACAAGATTATGTTGATGTTTAGCAGCACTGAGTCTGGTGCCCCCCCCCCCCCCCCCCCCCGGTCATATTGATTAGTTTTTCGTCCCGGTCCTTTTACTGATAAGATGTTAGTTTTAGTTATTATGGCTGAGCTGTTCCCCCCACCCCACCCCCACCCCCCACCCACCAACAGGGGTCTGAAGAAAGCATTGCATAACACTTTGGTCAAGAAATAATACATCACACCTAGCTACCCTCCCCCTCCCCCGCAATAAAGCCTTTGTCTATGATTGTAGAAAATACCCGTATGCTCCTTTTGCAGTGAGCCCACAGACCCATAACCCGTCACCTTAACTCATGGAATGTTGGACTGACAGGGCCGCCTCCCAAAAGCAGGATATCTGAGAGTCCATGCATATATAGTAGCTAAAAATGAGCATTTCCAGTGTATGAAAACACTTTAGGTTAAACTTTGATTTATGCAGCTCATTTAAACATTCAGTCTCTGATTGAGGGGGCAGCAGCACCCACTAGTTATGTTTCAGACTGGAACCTTCCTTTAAAAGCAAAACAGCAACAACATCTTCCTGAGGTAGTCATAAATCACTAATGTGTCTCGCTGCCTTGTTTGAATAAAATAAGCTCTTTTAAAATCTAGTCTAACAACGGCAACACGGACACATTGAGCAAACTGGAAATACACTTGTAAACTCCAAAGACTAATGCATCTTCGAGCATTTGTTTTGTACAGAAGCATGTGCACAGTGTAAATCAGCATACATTCAGCTCTGTCATGTAATAAATATATAAAGAAAAATATTACAAAAAGAAAACTAGCTGCTTGTCACATTCACAGGAGGGGAGACCGGACCCTCGACCCTGGCAGGCGGGGAGGGCTTAGGTAGCGGAGGAGGCGGTCACGCAGGGCGACGGGCCGGTCCGGTAGCTGGTCAGGCTGGATTTGCAGGAGTGCAAGACTGCTTTGAACAAGAGGGGGAGCTGCTCCAGAGGGACGTTCACCAGCTTCCCTGTGAGGACAAACCACAACCAGTCCTGGATCAGAACATCCTCTCATCAGCTTCTCCTCAACATAAACGCCAGAGCAGCCCTCACAGAGACACGCCTAGAACGGTCGTTTGTAGTGATGTCATTACCAGAATCTAACTGGTAACCAGTAAGGCTTCATTTGATGTTCCAGTCCACACCTCCACATGCAGCTACACGAAGATGTAAAATAAAAGAAATCCAGGCCAAGAAACAAAGAGGTACATTTCTGCCTTGCAGCTTCAGTCCCTACAGACTGGCGACAGTTACAGGCATGGCTGCTGAAGCTAACTGTTCAGAGTGCTGCCTCCACGCAGAGACCGTCCTCCGGGTTCACGGCCAGCAGCTACTCTACGGCTCAGAGTACTTCCCCACAACCTGCTCTGGTCGGAACATTATTCAATGACCTTTTGGTTTACCTTGAGTCACATTACATTAGAGCGTCAGCTCTGAGGATGTTTTGCAGCCGGCAAACAAAAACGTTAGCGAGGTAAAGAGAAACCTTTCCTGTGTTTTAAAAAAGAACCAAAAATGGAATTAGAAACTAGACACAGTAAGAACACACCAAAGCAAGGAACAATGTCGGCCACGTGGCTGTACTTTTCATTAAAGTCCGAAAAAGACAGTTTGGCTCAGCGCAGCACCGTCATGCACACGTTCCCCGCGGTGGAACAAAAGACGAACACGTCCAACCTCGTCGTGCATTTGAAGCAGGATCACGAAACATTGCATGAAGTGTGTGAAAATGAAACTTTAGACACTCAACTTGTAGCAGTTGGTCCGTGAACAATATTGTTTTCTTACTTATGTCCCTAACCTCAGCCATTCACATTTATGCAGCCAAAGGTTAATAAAAAACTGGTCAGTTTTTTATACTTACTGATGCTGGCTTTTGTTTTCTGTTTGAATAATATCACTTGATCAAGCTTTTTATACATTCCACACTACAAAAAAGGTAAAAGTATGTATGATTTGTGCTGATATCGTATCGGATTGATGTCGGTATAGGTCAATACTGAAGGCTGCAATACTGGTATTGTATCGGGACATCCCTAACTATCAATATTTTATGGAGATTAAAAAAACAAATAAATAAAAATCAATAAAGAGGATCTCTCGCATTTGTCTAAAAGCCTCCACTAATAACAGGTTTCAGACTGAAAGCAACCACTGGACCATCCGGTTGTCGGTCTCACCCAACCACCACACTTCCCTGGGTCCTTGTGATGGCAGGATCTGCCACACAGAAGAAAGATGAGTGATTTACCTTCGCAACACATTTACTTTCAGTTAACTTTTGGTTACAGATATGAACATATGAAAACAAGTTAGATTTCTGTTTAACTTTATTAAGTTGCGTGCACATTTAGTTGATCTTGTTTAACCACATTTTCACTTGTGTGATGTTATTTTTGTCTGTCTTGAGTTGCCAGTAAATTTCCATTTCCCTTGGAACAAAGAGGTGATGTGGCAGAGGGAGAAGCCAGAGCGGATACTTCCTGAAAGGCCTCTACCACTGACTGAGAATGGGGGGTGACTAGTCAGTTATTCCTGTACTGTTTTGGTCTTCAATGTTGTATTTGTGGTCCTTCCCTCTCATTTGTAATGGACTGACGAGCCATTATAAAAACCTCCCTAGTGTTTCCTGTAGGAGTCCGTTGGTGTTTTGTTTGCTAAGGTTATGTTGCTGTAAACCTCTTTTGGGGGCCACATTTTGTCATTTTTGTATTTTTGTTAAATTGGGTGAATAAAACCCTGATTTTTCTGATTCCTTTTTCCTGTGGCTCATTTAAAACAGTTCGGTCCCTGACAGTCCTCCACTCATTACACACATGTATTTAGCAACAGAACCACTGGTGTGAGAGCTTCTCCGCTCAATAACAGCAGAGGAGGAGAAGCAGCCGACTGCTACAACTTCTACTTTAGGACAAACTACCAGAGTCCCAAAAAGAAAAACACTAGCTGAAGTCACGGACAACAAGAGATGTTTGGACCGGGAAAAAAGCAACTGGTGTTTAGCACTATCTCGTGTCCTCTTGGCAGTGCACGTTTTCGGTTCCGACAGAAACATGTCAGGGATAACAGCCAACAGGAGGGGGGAGTGTTCTGTGACCGTGTTTAACCCGGAGCTGCTAATTTTAAAACAGACAGCTGACTGGTGCTTTATAAATAAACTGACCTGAACAGCGACTTCACTCTGCTAATCCAACAAGCACAGGAACTGATCCAGGATCAGATAACCAGTGAGGAGATCTGGATCTCAGCCATGATCGAGGTCTTACCTGCAATGCAGCGGATCTCAGGCAGACACATCATGATCTCAGGAAAGCGTTTGGGCTGGTGTGGGTACTTGTACTCGGTGAAGTCCTGACACACGTACCAGTAGCGCTTGTTCAGCTGCTCTAGCTGGGAGATGTTGGACAATCCTCTGATATCTGTAGGAGGACAGAGATGTTAGTCATGTCACGGTGTTGCCTCAGTTACCTTGAAAAGGTAATCCCACTACTGATTAACTGTTTAAAAGTAACTTTGTTACTTTGCCGTTTACCTTATTTTAAAAGTAACTAAATGAGACTACATTACTTGTTAAGTTACACTAAGCAGTAGCTTCCCCAGATATAAAAGAAACAGAACTTTTTGGAAAGTGCATTTTTAACATTAATGTCAACAACGTATCTCCCTCTGCTTTAAGTAGAACCTGTTTTAAAAAGAATAACCAAACACCGACAGCTGTGCTCCAGGTGTTTCTTCTAATCCGACCTAATGATAAAACCCACCAGCACAAACAGAACATCCAACCTTAACTTAGCCAACTTTAGCAGACAGAAACTAAATTATTGACTGCATTTCCAGATAGAAGTCGCCCGTCTGTGTTGCCGGCTGCTGGTCTGCATTACACGCGAGTAATCCTCACGCTGAGAACATGACTTACGGCATATGTGACATCACTCACTGAGACCCAAGATAAAAGCAAATATATCTTTTTAATGAGGAAAATGACAAAAATAGACGCGTACAGTGACCAGGGCTGTACGTTAACATTTTTAGCTTGCAACACAGGTGCTACGAAGGCTGTAGGTTTTGTAGCACTAAACAAAAACTTCGAGCACCAACATAAAAAATTTGTTACAATCTCTAAAAAACAAAAGTTGTTCTTACAATTACTTAAACACACTGACCAACACTAGTATTGCAGAAATGAAACAATAACAAGCAACCATCCAAGCAAGCTCCTGGTAACGTGTCCCACTCACGTACTTGACAATAAAACTGACTGAGTCTGAAATATCATCAGACATGTCAGTGTAATTTGACAAATTACATTTTAATTTATTCAAATTAGTGTAGAATTGTTCATTACAGAGGTCCGTGCTCAAAGGCAAAAGCATAGAAGAGTAGGCGCCGCACCGACCGCAACATGTGCATCTGTTTTGGGAACGGTAATAACATTTAACTTCTACTAACAATGTAATGGAGAGCTTAAAGCTTGGTTTATGCTTGACACATTCACTTTCCGCTTGGTGATGCGGCTCGCGGCTGGAACGCGCTTCACAACTCGCAGCGTTTATGGTTCGTTCGGCTTGTCTCTGCGGTGAGCCAATATTCTCCCAAACTGTAGGGGGCAGCATGGAGCTCTACAGCATGCATCCAACACTACACCATAGTAGAAGTAGAAATTACTGTTTACAACATGGCATTTCAGCAGTTTTTAACAGCGTCCTCGTCTTTTCCGACAGTGCGAGCTATTTCTCTCCAAGAATTATTAACAACATGTTGATCACGGTGATCTCTGAGAGCTGAATCATACAAATGTCTGTATTTACGAACCTCTGCCATACTAGTTCTTGCCGGTCCGCCGTGTTTTTCCGCGCCCGACCGTCCGCGCGGTTAGAAAATTTCCTAGGTGCGCGTTGCGGAAATTTTGGGCCGCGCGGAAGCGCGGTGGAGGGGTGTGGGTGTTAAAATGACGCAACTTTTCCAAGCGAAGCCGTGCGGACCTCGCGGACGCGTCAAGCATAAACCAACCTTAAGTCTCCTCCCTTTACGGTCGGCTCATGGGTCCCCGAAAGAACAAAAAAATGCAAGTCAATGGGGCTAAAAGAGCGATTTTCTAATCCGCTTTGCCTTAAGCCCTGGGTCACACATACAGTGAGGTCCATAAATATTGGGACATCAACACAATGCTAACATTTTTGGCTCTATACAGCACCACAATGGATATCAGATGGAACGAACAGAATGCAGACTGTCAGCTTTTATTTGAGGGTATTTACATCCAAATCAGATGAACGGTGTAGGAATTACAACAGTTTACATATGTGCCTCCCACTTGTTAAGGGACCAACAGAATGGGACAATGGGCTTCTCAGCTGTTCCATGGCCAGGCGTGTCAAGATGAGATCCAAAGAGCTGTCACTATCAGTGAAGCAAGCCATCATTAGGCTGAAAAAACAAACGAAACCTACCAGAGAGATGGCAAAAACATTAGGCGTGGCCAAAACAACAGTTTAGAACATTCTCAAAAAGAAGGAATGCACCGGTGAGCTCAGCAACACCAAAAACCCCAGAAGACCACGGAAAACAACTGTGGTGGATGACCGAAGAATCCTTTCCCTGGTGAAGAAAACACCCTTCACAACAGTTGGCCAGATCAAGAACACTCTCCAGGAGGTAGGTGTATCTGTGTCAAAGTCAGCAATCAAGAGAAGACTCCACCAGTGTGAATACAGAGGGTTCACCACAAGATGTAAACCATTGGTGAGCCCCAAAAACAGGAAGGCCAGATTAGAGTTTGCCAAACAACATCTAAAAAAGCCTTCACCGTTCTGGAACAACATCCTACGGACAGATGAGACCAAGATCAACTTGAACCAGAGTGATGGGAAGAGAAGAGTATGGAGACGGAAAGGAACTGCTCACGATCCTAAGCATACCACCTCATCAGTGAAGCATGGTGCTGGAAGTGTCATGGTGTGGGCATGTATGGCTGCCAGTGGAACTGGCTCTCTTGTATTTATTGACGATGTGACTGCTGACAAAAGCAGCACGATGAATTCTGAAGTTTTTCGGACAACATTATCTTCTCATAATCAGCCAAATGCCTCAGAACTCACTGGACGGCGCTTCACAGTGCAGATGGACAATGACCCAAAGCATACTGCAAAAGCAACCAAAGAGTTTTTGAAGGGAAAGAAGTGGACTGTTTTGCAATGGCCAAGTCAATCACCTGACCTGAATCCGATTGAGCATGCATTTCACTTGCTGAAGACAAAACTGAAGGGAAAATGCCCCAGGAACAAGCAGGAACTGAAGACTGTTGCAGTAGAGGCCTGGCAGAGCATCACCAGGGATGAAACCCAATGTCTGGTGATGTCCATGCGTTCCAGACTTCAGGCTGTAATTGACTACAAAGGATTTGCAACCAAGTATTGAAATGTATAAGTTTGCTTTATGGTTCTTATTCTGTCCCATTACTTTTGGTCCCTTAACAAGTGGGAGGCACATATGCAAACTGTTGTAATTCCTACACCGTTCATCTGATTTGGATGTAAATACCTCAAATAAAAGCTGACAGTCTGCAGTTAAAGCACATTTTGTTCGTTTCATTTGATATCCATTGTGGTGGTGTATAGAGCCAAAAATGTTAGCATTGTGTCGATGTCCCAATATTTATGGACCTGACTGTATGTTGTACTGCAATTTAAATGAAAACCAATGATGGGTGTTTTGACCACACCTGTCATGTACTTTGAGATTTATCAGCTTGTAAAAGTTCGTAATTAGCATGATTACAAACCAGACATCGGCATGTCCCACATGTGACGTCACCACATAATCTCCTCTCCCCAAGCGTAGCTGCTTCTTACCACATGGCCAGATTTATGGTGGTCCTTTCCTCCTGTAGGAAGTTTGCTGAACTTACAGCCCTTTTCCCTCAGTTTTCTCTGTGTCTGGTTCGATGACATCACTTTTGTGATGTATATTTGCTGTCCTGGACTTATTTTCACACAAAACCTAAAATATCGTTCCGCCCCGTTCAAAAATAAACGCGTTCTTGGTATCAAAATGCATCTTTAAAATTCATGGACATCATATGTGAAATCCATGGAACAAAACAAGCGGAAATAGAAAATAGTGTTTTTAGCCGCGTTAACTTGCATTAATCTTTTCGTTCTTCGGGGAGCGCGTGGTCCGGAAGGGCGTGACTTAGGCTCCATATGGTGGCATGGCTATTATGTACGGGTGGGGAATAATTCAGTTTAAATTATGTTTTAAGATAGAAACATTTTTGAATTATATACTACAATGGCATGCCACAGTGCTTGCTGCGGTGTCAAAGCAGCAACGTGGCTCGTATCTGCAGCGGTTCTGATCCATAGTGCTGCAGGAATAAACAGGATGGTGGGGACTTTTCTTCCGCTTGTAAAATTTAGGCTTCCTTAGTTTTAGTTTAGTTCATAGTTTTTCTGAACCCCACTTGATTGTGAGCATGCCACCCGTTAGCCCGTTAGCACATTAGATCCAAAACTTTGGATCGGTTCTGCCTTTGTGTCTTTGCTGGTTCCTGAATTTTCCTCCACTGCACAGATTACTACATTGTGCACCAGTTAAATGCATTTTCTTACACTGAACTTACTTATGTTATATACCGTTCTGGGTAAAAAAGTAATTTAAAGACGTCACACTAGTGCTACGTCTAAAAATTAGTGATGCACCGATATGAAATATTTGGGTTGATACAGATATCTGATATTAAGATCAGTGTTATGGCCGATAACCGATATTTGCCGATACCGATATACTGACATTAATGCTTCTAAAACCAGCAGATTTTGTATGGAATGAAATTTATTAAAGCTGAATTTATGCCGTATGTTTTGGACGCCCGAGTGAAGAGAGGAGCGGAGCTGTCAACTGATCACCACCTGGTGGTGAGTTGGATCAGATGGCAGGGGAAGATGCCGCGTAGACCTGGCAGACCCAAACGCATAGTGAGGGTCTGCTGGGAACGCCTGGCAGAAGAACCTGTTAAGATGGTCTTCAACTCCCACCTCCGGCAGAGCTTTGACCGCGTCCCGAGAGCAGTGGGGGACATTTACTCTGAGTGGGCCTTGTTCCACTCTGCGATTGTTGAGCAGGCTGTTGCTAGCTGTGGTCGCAAGGTGGCCGGTGCCAATTGTGGTGGCAACCCCCGTACCCGCTGGTGGACACCAGAAGTTCGGGGAGCCGTCAGGCTGAAGAAGGAGGCCTACAGGGCGTGGCTAGTCTGTGGGTCTCTGGAGGCAGCAGACAGGTACCGGATAGCCAAGCGGGGTGCAGCAATGGCAGATGCTGAGGCAAAATCTCGGGCGTGGGAGGAGTTTGGTGAGGCCATGGAGAAAAACTATCAATCGGCTCCAAAGAGGTTCTGGCAAACTGTCCGGCGCCTCAGGAGAGGAAGGCAGCAACTCGCTCACACTGTTTACAGTGGGGATGGGGAGCTGCTGACGTCAACTGAAGCTATAGTCGGGACGGTGGAAGGAATACTTTGAGGAATTCCTCAATCCCACATATGCTTATTCTGAGGAGGAACCAGAGCCGGGAGACCTGGGGATGGACTGTCCAATCTCGGGGGCAGAAGTTGCTGAGGTAGTCTAACAACTACACAGCGGCGGAGCCCCGGGGGCGGATGAGGTTCGTCCTGGGTATCTTAAGGCTATGGATGTTGAAGGGCTGTCATGGTTGACACGTCTCTGCAACATTGCGTAGTCATCGGGGCAGTTCCTGTGGAGTAGCAGACCGGGGTGGTGGTCCCCATCTTTAAGAAGGGTGACCTGATGGTGTGTTCTAACTATAAGGAGATCACACTCTTCAGCCTCCCTGGAAAGGTCTACTCCAAGGTACTGGAGAGGAGGGTCCGATCGATAGTTGAATCTCAGATTGAGGTGGAGCAGTGTGGTTTTTGTCCTGGCCGTGGAACTGTGGACCAGCTCATCTTGCAAGAGTGATGGAGGGGGCATGGGAGTTTGCCCAACCAATCCACATGTGTTTTGTGGATTTGGAGAAGGCTTATGACCGTGTCCACAGGGGCACCCTGTGGGGACGCTCCAGGAGTATGGGGTGGGTGGCTTTCTGTTAAGGGCCATTCAGTCCCTTTACCAGAGGAGCGCATAGCCGGTAGTAAGTCAGACCTGTTCCCGGTGAGGGTTGGACTCCGCCAGGGCTGCCCTTTGTCACCGGTTCTGTTCATTACCTTTATGGACAGAATTTCTAGGCGCAGCTGTGGTGTGGAGTGTGTCGAGTTTGGTGGCAGGAGAATCTCGTCTCTGCTTTTTGCGGATGATGTGGTCCTCCTAACTTCATCCAGCTCTGACCTTCAGCTCTTGCCGGGTAGGTTCGCGGCCGAGTGTGAAGCGGCTGGGATGAGGATCAGCACCTCCAAATCTGAGACCATGGTTCTCGACTGGAAAACGGTGGCTTGCCAACTCCAGGTTGAGGGAGAGGTCCTACCTCAAGTGGAGGAGTTCAAGTATCTCGGGGTCTTGTTCACGAGTGAGGGTAGGAGGGATCGGGAGATCGACAGGCGGATTGGTTCGGCGTCTGCAGTGATGCGGACGCTGAGCCAATCTGTCGTGGTGAAGAGGGAGCTGAGCCAGAAAGCCAGGCTCTCGATTTACCGGTCGATCTACGTCCCAATCCACACCTATGGTTATGAGCTTTGAGTAATGACCGAAAGAACGAGATCGCGGATACAAGCGGCCAAAATGAGTTTCCTCCGTAGGGTGGCCAGGCTCAGCCTTAGAGATAGGGTGAGGAGCTCGGACATTCGGGAGGGACTCGGAGTAGAACCGCTGCTCCTCCGGATCGAAAGGAGCCAGTTGAGGTGGTTTGGGCATCTGGTCAGGATGCCTCCTGGAGACCTCCCTGGGGAGGTGTTTCGGGCATGTCCTGCCGGCAGGAGGCCCCCGGGTGGACCCAGGACACGTTGGAGAGGTTACATCTCCAATCTGACCCGGGAACGCCTTGGGGTCCTGCCGGAGGAGCTGGTGGAGAAGGCTGGGGAGAGGACGGTCTGGGGCTCCCTAGTTGGGATGCTGCCCCCGCGACCCGGACCCGGATAAGCGGAGGAAGATGACGACGACATTCACTGTTGCATAACTAAACAAACACACATCACCCCCTCACCCTCTGAAACACTCAAATAAATGGAGACAAGATGGAAAAAATATCAGTTGTTGATATCGGTCCAATTGTATTATATGTTAAAAAATGACTAACATCAGCCAATACCGATATTGATGCTGATATATTGTCCATCCCTCCTAAAACCAGTTTATGGCACAGACCGTTTTTTTTTTTCATCGCACTGTACAGCCCTGGTGACAATACTAGGACTTTTGGTTAGCGACGAGTTAGATTTCTCACTACTGACATCACCATCTGTGTAACAGGCTATTGGCGTCAGGGGGAAGACCCAGTTTCAGAGGTCTGCTGGTACCTTGGTTCAGGAAGTTGATGGCTTTCATGCAGGCGTATTCCTCGTTGCTGATCTTTAACTGGTGGAATTTTCGAAACAGATAGATCAATCTCTCCATCACCTCCATCCCGTCCTCGCTGAAGCTGGTGAACAAAACACATTCATGCTTGAATTCAACATCAAGAAACAAGAGACCCTGGAGTTTTAACGTTTCCATGCGTACGTTGAATCTGTAACAAAGCAAAGCAACAGAAAGAGTTCTACCGCTGACACGCCTCACGGCTCCAGATAAAAACCTGGGAGGAAAACAGATCCAGGAGCTTCACAACTGCTGCTGATCCCATAGCTTTAAGGAGATAGAAAGACTTGTAAACTTTAATTTCCCTCATCATCACCTCCCCGTCTTCCTGTCTGCTTTAATCTCTGATGCACTTTAGGCTGAGCTGCTATAAATCAAAGAGCTACTCCTAAAATCCCCAAACTCCAACCCTCCAGGGCAGCAGAGCAGTCATATTTCATGAGTCATAAGGTCACATGATTCATAGCTGATTTACACCCCCTGCAGACCCCCGAGCTGCCCGTGGCTGTGTGTTTGACCGTACGGTACTAGCCACAGAGCTGTCCTCCTGTTCATGCACCAATTCACTGGACCTCAACCCAGAAAGGTAGGGTCCAGCTGTGATGGAAGGAAAATGTGAAATCCTTCAGAGAAACTGGACTCACAGACCAGAACACCTGCAGCAGCCTCACATCTACATCTTTCTAAGTGAAACCGAACTGGCTCAGCTCCAGCAGCTAGGATCATGCTGAGCTAATGGTGAGGTGGAGATGGCTCAGACATCAGCTATGAGATCAGGTGTTACAGCGCTCCACTCTCCAGGGAAACCATCCATCTGACCCAGCATTAGCCTGCTCCAGCAGATCCACACATGGGTTCGGTGTTCAGGCAGCAGATCTACAGGACCTTCATGCCAAGTCCTCCGAGTCTACCAGTGAGAACCTCATAGCCACTCCTGGTTCAGAGGACAGAATCACCTGCTCAGAACCTTTTAGCTCAGCTGCATCAAAATGTTTTAACAAACCATCCAACAGCCATGTTGGCTAACAGCTAATGGCTAACAGCCCAAAGAAGCATCAAAACATCTGGTGTTGTCACTGACTGGACAGCGCCAATTTAAACATGAAGAATATTAATTATGACCTCTGTGCAACACTTCATCCTGTCATTCACTCACCCCTGCAGCTCGTCGTCAGATGGCGTGTACTTGGCGGTGACATCGGCCAGGTCTCCAAAGATCTGGGAGCTGTAGATGGTGAGACAGGACAGCAGGATGAGCTCCTGCCAGGTGGAGCTCAGCAGGCAGGTGTAGTCCTCTATGGAGAGCTCGCAAAAGAACGGCAGCTTCTTGATCCAGGAGATCTGACGAAAGAGCAGCTCATCCGCCAGCCGACACAGCAGAGCGAACAGCTCCACCTGAGTCACCTTGTACCTGGGTCCAACGACAGAGGCTGTGTTACATCATTTATGTTCCTCCGTAGTTCAAAAGCAAATGTCCTCTGTTCTCTTTGATCAGTGTTGTTTATTTGTGTTTATTCTTTACTCTTGGTACTTTAATGACGTTTAAAAACAAAATGAATGAAAACAAAGACCCCTTTAAAAGGTGTCATTTCACACTGTAAAGCTGACGGTAACAAGTGGCACTACCACCGTAATACAGCATGTATGTGTGCAGCTAAATTATAACCCAGATGTGTCATATGTAGTTGTTCCTGCAGCAGGAGGCCCAGAGAACCAGAACGCACCTGAATCTGAAACTCCATTATTAAAACTCACCCGTCCTCTATGAGCATGGGGGTGTTGAGGGGGGCCAGGTCCTCCGCTGCCACGAGCTGCAGCACCAGGGGGTGGGATTGTGGGTACAGGCTGCGAGGCTGGGGGGTCAGCAGGCCCGACTGGGCCGCGTAGCTGAAGAGGTGTGGCAGCAGCTGGTAGTGTGTGGACATGGAGGTGTTGATGTACTGGTCCCTGAGGGCCACTGTGTAGCCGTTCATCTCTACTGACCTACTGGGGGGACAAAAGGGTCAAACGTCACGCAGGCCCCTTCACAGCCTAGTTAGAAACCAAACACGCTCTCACGTCTCACTTCTGCACAATAAAGGCTCTCTTCTCTCATGGTCAACGGGCTTTAACTAGTCCAGAACTCCTAAGCACTTTACAGTACACTCACCCATTCACACACCAGTCACTCACCCATTCGCACACCAGTCACTCACCCATTCACACACCAGTCAGCTAGGGATGGGTACTAATTTTGGTACTTTTTAAGGCACCGATTGAATTCCATAGAACCAACTGAGTACCGATTCACATCATATGAAACTGTGCCTTTTTTGGTACCCATGCCGTGCGCCGGCGCAAGAGAGTGATGTCATCAGTCACTGTGGGCACGCTGTAAACAAAGCAGCATGGTGTTCTGAAGTTTGGGTCCACTTCACTAAATGGGATGGGTAACTGGGTGATGATGAGGCATCATCATCTTAATCTGCTCTGGTAGGTAAATAACATGTTTAAGATAACGTTAGCTTAATATGTTAGCTTCTGTTCAGCTAATGGTGCGTTCGCTTTATCCGCGGAACTCCGAAACTCTGAATAGAAGAAAGCGAACGCGCTCTAAAGTTTGGATTCACTTCACTAAATGCAACGGGCGGTTGGGTGATGATGAAACCAGCGACAGCGGTCTGAGTATGAGGCATCTTAATCTGCTCCAGCAGCAAGATAAACTGTTTAAGATAACGTTAGCTTGATAGTTTAGTTTTTGTGTACTTAGCTAACGCTGCGTTCACTTTCTCCTCGGAAATCCCAACGTCCGAGTAGGAAAAATAAACAGTTTGAAAATGAACAGCAAAAGGAATGAAGATACACAGTAAAGTTAGTTTACACAGCAGAGATGTTTGCTTCAGTGTAATTAGCAGTTTATAAAACTACAAGGACCCACCATCACAGTTTGTCCAGAGGGGAAAGGAGAGGAAACGGAGTACATGGAGCTGGTTTAGTTTGTATTAAATATCAAAATACAAACAGTTGTATGTATCGAAGTTTGCATTAGTTTCATTTGGAGTTCATAATCCACGGTCTCCTCATCAAGAGTTATTCCAGAGGGCATAGAAGAGGATTAGGAGTACATGGAGCTGGGCTTGTTTTTGTGTCATTTATAAACAGTTGTTGGTACAGGTTTTCATACTGAAGAATTTTGTACAACACTACGATGATACAACACAGTTTATCATGGTATTAATCCATTCATCCATCCATTGTCTGAACCCGCCTGTCCACGCAGGGTCGCGTGGGGGGCTGGTGCCTATCTCCAGAGGTCAATGGGCAATCGGGTGGGGTACACCCTGGTCAGAGAGCCAGTCCATCACAGGGCAACACACAGGACAAACAATCACGCACACACACACACACACGCACGCACACACCTAAGGACAATTTAGACAGACCAATCAATTTAACAGTCATGTTTTTGGACGGTGGGAGGAAGCCGGAGAACCCGGAGAGAACCCACGCATGCACAGGGAGAACATGCAAACTCCATGCAGAAAGATCCCAGGACCTTCTTGTTGCAAGGCGACAGCTCTAACCACTGCTCCACTGCGCAGCCTATGATATTAATCAAAAATGGTTATATATTGGGAAGATAATATATAATTAATTTTAAAAGCGATATAATTATTGAACACTCAAAAGTATCAAATATTGGTACCGTTAAGTACCTGTATTGATTTGTAGGAACCATACTGATTCAAATGCAGTGGTGGGCAGTCAGGGCCAGCAAAGCCTTCTCTGCTGGCCTAAACGTACTCAAAAACGTAAATGTATTTTTTTTCCTTTGGTAAATATTTTTAAATAAAAAAAAAAAATTTCACTGGTCTATTTTCTTTATATCCTATTATACCCACTTGGCTGTGCTGCTTCCAGTGTTAAAATACCAAGGCTGGGTGTTATCCAATCAGATTTAAGCTAGCTTGTGTTTTCAGGCAGATTAAGTCTGCCCTAGGCCTTCAGAATCAATCGAGAAGCCCGCTGTCCGCTGTAAGTGAACGGAGACGATCTAGTTGCGAATCTAGTAGCCAATCAGCTCACGAGTCAGCTTGGCCCGGGCCAGCTAGCTGGCCTCATGCAAAAGTTGACATGAACGCATCCTGTGATTGGATTAGCAGTAGTTAGAACTTTTCTAGCGGCATGAAGCAAAATATCAAAACTAAACACAGAGATTTGTACCTATAGGCAGCTATCGGTGTATTTTTGAACACATGATGGCTGAAAGAGGAGAAGAGACAGACTTGGTTGCAGATTTACTTGCCACACCATTTTCCAGACGGACCTTTCAAGAAAAAATGGATCTTGTGAGAACAGGTCGTCCGACTCCAATGCTAGCTGGCTTGTCCCAGCAGGGGAAAGGATTTGTTCGTCATTTTCAGGCAAGCAACTATGAACGGTACCCATGGCAAACAGCTTCAGAGAACCGCTGCAGGTTATTCTGCTGGGAACGCCTGTTTGTCGCATCAGATGGATTTGGTAGCATTAAAGCGCGTTAAAACGTATGCCAGAAACACGACCCGACAGACACGTCTTTCAGCATTAGCCTCCATGTCCGTAGAAAAGGATCTACTCATGGACCTGAAGCGCACAGATAAACTGTACAGAGCCACTGAGGTTTTCCTGAGGAAAGAAAGAAGGATGGATTTTATTTTCAAATGAGCAGGAGAGGAGGAGATCCATGCTGGACATTTATGTTGGTGAGTAGAAAGTATTTTTTAATGTTTTGTCATTTCATTTTGTTAATAATAAATGGTAACGAAATAAAATGGCTAAATGAAATAATTCTATGTGTTCTGTTTCTATGCAATTTATATTGTGTATAACGTGGTGTGTGCAGCTGCGCCAACATGTTCAATTGTTTCGCGGTGCAATTTTCTCCAAAACAAATGCAAATAATGTGTTTGCTTTACTTATTTATTTTATTGTCTCATCTCTTAAACCCGTCTTTCATTTCTGAGATTTGACGGTATCCGTGGTCTTAGCTTCCTACTCTCAACTGGGAATGCGAGTTTGATTTTAAAGGCTCCGGAAATGACGCCTTGCCCAGCCACTGGTGTGTGTGTGTGTGTGTGTGTGTGTGTGTGTGTGTGTGAGAGGTTTCTCCAGCTGTAATGTCCTACTGATGGTATTTTAAGGTGTGTTAATTTAGATTGGACTGAATAGGAAATCACTGAAGGCCCAGGGGTGGAATGCACCGCCCGCCACTGTTCAAATGCCAAAGGTACCCATCCCTACCAGTCACTCACCCATTCACACACTGTAGCCACAGCTGCCCTTGGGTGAGGTTGCTGTACACAGACACCAGCGGTCCCTCTGACCACCCCCAACGAGCAAGGGGGTGTGTGTGCTATCAAGGACACAAAGACCGACGATGAAGGCGCCAGGGCTTGCCCCCACAGAATACAGGGCGAACTCCAAAGTAACCGTGGCCACGGCTCTCATCTACTAGAGATCTTCAGATGTTTACCACAAACCCGTAAACAAAGCGTTGCGTTGTGTAGCTGCATAGCGATGAGCGCGCCGCCGCTCTCTGGGTTTGCTGTTCATTTCTGACAAGATTCAGTCTGATAAAACAACTATTCCTCCGAATAGCTCGCACACAATCAGAGCTGAGATAAAGCTCCTGTTTAAAGAGAATGAGACTAAAATAAATGCCGTCATGCCAGCAGCGAGACAATATTTGTCCTTGATTAGTGAAGACAATGTGCTCGACTCGCAGCAGAAGCAGCAAGTTCTCTGGGTTTGTCATCATCACTTCACATTCAGCCATTCTTCTGCTGCTGAATGCTTCCAAACAAGTTCTGCGTGAGGCGGCAGCCAGTCGTGAGGCTGTCAGGGCCAGCTCATCATCTCAGTGTGTGGCTGAAGAAGGGAGGACTGACTCACTTGGACGACAGCGTGGATGCGGGTGATGGCTGGTTGCCTTCCGAAGCCCCGTTACTGGGGGAGCTGTGGTCACTGTCACCATTGTTACCCCAGGTGTGCTCAGGGGCATCCTCCTTAAACTCCTGGCCCGACATGATCCGCTCAATCTCCTCCTCTGTGATCTGAAACACACACACACACACACACACTTATAGCAACAGAAATCTGTGTGTCAGCTCTATTGACCGACTAGCTTTTCACTCAGATACAGAGGAGCAATGACGACGAGGCACAATGAAACAAGCAGTAGCAGGAAGTAGGATGGAGCGTTTGTCCAAGTGGTGCCTGCACCTAAAATCCTGACCTCCTCTCAGGTCAGGGTGGGCAGAAACACACACAGAACCACTCTGAAAGGCCCCAACACCCCAGAATGTGTGGCGCCCTGTATCTATAACTGGGGTCAATTCATTTCATCTCCGTCAATTCATAACCCGAAACAGGCAATTCTTTCCATATTAATGAGAGGAAGGCCTTCCTCCCACTGCAGCCTGGACATAAAGCCGTCTCTTATTGCGTTTCCAGCACATGGCTCTGCTGAATAGAAGCTCCGCGGCACTTATCCTCGTGTCGCACATTCTCCTGACCACTTGTCACCGTTCATAATGAAGCTGGAGCTGAATGAGAATAATCAGCAGCGGCAGGATTGGTGATACAACAAGGTCAGGGTTCTTTCTCATAACTCCACACAGAAACAAGAAGCTGTGCAGCACTAAAACTCTTCTACGCTCTCGTTTAGCTGAAAGGCTCATTCTTTGCAGGCACTCACTCAGTACGAGCTCCCTCCTGTACGCTCAGACTGATTTATGGTGGGAAAAGGTCAGAGCATGGTATAGAAACCACTGATTTACCTGCACAGGCCCGATGCTTTTGTTCCTCCCTCCTGGCATGCCATCCTCCCTGATTGCTATAAAGCAAACAAAAAAAGAAATCTATGTTTAACACACTTGATACCGGCAACAGGTGTCACAGCTCCACCTAGTGGCTGAAACCAACTCGGATCGTTTTCTGGTTCCTCTTGGGAGGAGAGCGTGATTTATTCTGTTTTTTGGGAATGGATCGTTAATTTCAGGGAGTATGTTTCCTCCACAGCTCAGATTTATGCTTTAATTAAAGTCTTTTACAAATAAATCTAACAAAATGAATCCCATCAGGTTTACAGAAACCATCACTTACAGGTTGTTCCCACTAGAGAGCAGTGTGTTCCTACCAAAGACCTGAGGATCTACAGCAGGTTCATCCCAAACTCCCTCTTTAACACATATAAGTGAATCTAATCCCAGTGAGAACCTGTGGTCCTTCCTCCAGAGGCAGGAGGACAAACACAAACCCAACATTGATGATGGAGAATGATCTCCATCAGGATATGGACCAGAAGCTGGTTGGAAGCAGGTCAGGGTGAACTACAGAAGCCTAGAAGGAACAACTCCGGAGATTCAGACTCTTTGGGCCAGATTCATGTCCAAATTCGTCAATGAAAATTTCTGAATTCTACTTCTGAAACCACAGAAACCTCTAGAAACTCTGAAGAAGCAACATTAGGGTCATTCTCGGAACGTTTGGCTACAGCTGCATGTGTCCCCATCTAACTGATGATGAGTCATTGTCTCACCAAGGGACGGACATCAAACATGACCTGAATGACCATTTTCTAGAGCTTGTTCTCTACCACCCCGGTCTGAGACAAAGACACACTTTACCTTTACGGTTCATCCCCATCTGCAGGCACTTGAGCAGGCGGCAGTACTGGCAGCGGTTGCGTTGTTTGCGGGACATTTCACAGTTCTTATCTCTGCTGCAGCGATACACCCGCTTGTTACAGATGCTGCGTTTGAAGAAGCCTTTGCAGCCCTCGCAGGAGATGATGCCATAGTGCAGGCCTGTGGCTCGATCTCCACAGATAAGGCAAGTACGCTGGTCAGCTGCATCATCTACAGAAGGGAGGCAGAAGGACAAAGGCTTTATCACCAGTTCCACCCACTACATTTTGCTAAGTCATCCACACCAATAAGAAAGACCAAGTAAAATAAACCTTGCTGAAGGAACCAGTTTTGAATGGAGACCATAAAGAAACCAGAGCTTAAGTGAAGGCAGGCGCTGCCTAAACCAAATGGTTCCCAGAAACTGAAACTGGTTTTGTGAAAGTTGGGGTGTAATAGGAACTGGGATGGAGAGCTGAGATGTCTTCAGTATGTTTTATTCAGTAGCTCTGATGGACCCAGATGACTGATTTGTTTACAGTCTCTCCTTTCTCTTGTCTTAACAGCAGTAGCATCACATGAAGTCAACTTTCAGACTTTCTGCAACAGAGACTCATCAGTCTATACAAACCACAGAAATGGAATCTTCCTTTAAGTTAAAATGTATGTGTGGAAACCAGTTTACAAGAAAAAACTTGAATGTTAGATTTATGCTGTGACTGAGTTTGTGTGTTCTGTTGTTTTTGAGATCTGCAAAATAAATCTTGTTTGCATTACCTGGAAACCCTCGTGAGTTATGGAGACAGTTCTTTGGTGTGTAATAGAAAAATAAGTTTGCATTAAAAAGGCAGAGAATAAAGCTTAAGAAAATTTTTATTTCTTTTTTTTTGTGAGGGAGATTTATCGGCCATTATATCGGCTATCGGCCTTTGTTAAAAGTTTTATATCCGTATCGGTCACAAAAAAAGCATACCGGTCGAGCCCTAGAAGAAACTATGGTGCTGGGTGGAGAGAGGCTGACTAGAGCTGTCGGTGGAGAACAGATCAGACAGGTCTGTCTGTCCAAAGCATAGTCCACAGGCAGAAGCCCAGATGTCCCAGCAGCATGTGAGGACCAACAAAAATATGTTTATGTATGGATGCTGATTTGTCATCCCCTCAAGAATGACACCCCCACCCCCAAAACTTTTAAGGGCATTTTTCTTTATAAATACACCATTATACTGTTTTGTTTTGTGGTACTTATTCATCTATGTACACAAGTCACATATAGCATGATGCTAACTTTCCTTAGGGATGCACATAGTTGACCGGTTAATTGTTGTTAATGTTCTAGCCGGGTAAAATAGTTTCAGCAGGTTAACTGCTTCAAGTCCTTCTGCTGCGCTGGGGTATAATATATTTTGAGCAGCTAGGGGGTGCAAGAGGGCCGCTATCAAAATGTGTTTACTGGACATCCGCAGAAGAAGAAATGAGCTTGTCACTTGAACAAACAAATGTAGGTTTTAGCAACAATCACTGCGTGGAAACAGTTTATTCTTAGTTATTTCATTCTTGAAGCCTTTCATCAAAGTGCTGAGCCTGCCAGAACATGGCGCAGCAAACTGAACTGAGACTAGCAAAGGTCAGTCGGCCATGACACCTCCTGCTTGCGCCTAACTCTTAATTTGTCTAGTAAAATAAAGAAATGTCAGTAATTATTTACTAAGGAAACTAAGGTGTTTTTTTAAGAACCGTGACCTCCAGAATGCGCTTATAAGCAGCGGTGTGTATTTGATGCTAGATGGTCCGCTGCGCAACAACTTCTGAGTCTGACGGACATTTCAGCTGGCATCCCTATCCCTCTTTACTTCTTGTTCATAAATGTAATAAGTGTGGGACTTTAGTTGTGTGTCAGAATTATATAAAAAAAGAGTAGACTGAAAAAGCGGTATTTATAGAGTGGGGGCGAATGTTTGTGTGCGTCGGGGGAGGGAGTTGTTTCCGGTTAATTGGCTATTACCCGTTAGGGCGTGTCAAAACATGCATCCCTACTATTACTCATACCACCATGGGACTAAATATTGGTAATGATAATAGATCTCAGTTATCCAGAGTCGTCTGTAGGAGATCCAGTGTCTGATCTGGGATCAGTGTTTCCATGTGGTCTCAGTTTCTGTTTAATGGAGAATATGTTAGGTGTTTTCTACACCTGATGCTTGAGCCAATAAAAAAGGGTTTTTAAAGAGTTTTATGCTGTTGACAGTTAACATGCAGAGAAATCCATTATTATTTAAACAATTAGGATGGGGTAGGGTGTATTTGAACCCAGGGCTAAGCCTCCAAAGAACAGGACTTTTGGGCGAGACAATGAGGCTTCCCACAGGGAGCCCATCCTGAGTTTGAACCATTTCACAGATTAACTTCACACAGAAAGGAGGCTCTACCATGAGTCTGTCAGAGACAAAGTCTACCTCTTGACTACAGTCTCTTCAGCAAGCCCCTTAAGCCTAGTTTATGCTTCTGCATCAGCTCCATGAGGGAAAGAGGCACAGTCATTGATGGAAATTGTCAGAAAGGGTTATGGGTTAAGGGTTTTGCCCTCGGATTGTCTCTCACCTAGGGAGTGCTGCAAAGCAGTTCCCCTCCAGGACAACAGAGGGCGTAGGACTGTTCTGAAGTATCCTGTCCTGTGTCGTTTTTGTTGACGAAAACTATGACAATTTAATTTCGTTGACGCCCCTTTTTTTCATAATAAAAATGAGATGCTGACAAGCTAAAAATAGCTCTTTGGTGGCTAAAACAGGACGAGATGAACGGGAGTTTTCGTTAACGAGCCAAGAATAGACAAAAACTGTCCTCTAAATGCACATTTCTGCCTGTCTCTGAAAAGGTAACAGCACTGCTGCTGCGTCCCAGTTGAAGTGTTTCCTGCTCAACAGATCGTAGTGAAGTTGGCTCCCCAACCACATCAGAAAGCACTAACCACTATTTGAGTGGATTTCTGATGTGGGTTGGAAGCTAACTTCACGCCGCTCGGATTCGCTCCTCCCTGCCGCGGGAATGCACAGCGTTCAGCCGCTCATTAACGCTACTACGATGGATGACGTTGCTACTTTTAAATTAATCCGTAATATTAACACATTTCTTATTCGTGTGCTTCTTGAAAAAGTCGTGCTTTTAGGGAGATGAAAGAAATGACGGTTTTTAACAGGTTTTATCTGAACACGTTTAGGACGAATGTTTTAAAGTCATTGTCTCTTCTCCCTGGTTCCTAATAATGGGTCAGATTTCTGCTTTTTAACCCAACAATATAACAGTTTAAGCCCATCTAAATGTTTAGGAGCATCACTGTTGGTGCTCAAGAGCAGAATTGGTTATTTATATTAATTCTGTAGACTCGTGAAAACTCAACACTGCAGTCCATGAAAAAACATTCCTGCATTTAAGTAGGTGGACTTGATTCGGAAAAGGGTAGAATGCCTTCTCCAGGTCAGGGATGAGGTCCTGCCTCAAGTGGAGGAGTTTAAGTATCTCGGGGTCTTGTTCACGAGTGAGGGAAAACTGGAGCGCGAGATCGACAGGCGGATTGGTGCTGCATCTGCAGTGATACGGGCGTTGTACCGGTTTGTCGTGGTGAAGAGAGAGCTGAGTCAGAAGGTGAAGCTCTCGATTTACCGGTTGATCCACGTTCCTACCCTCACCTACGGTCATGAGCTTTGGGTAGTGACCGAAAGAACGAGATCACGGATACAAGCGGCTGAAATGAGTTTCCTCCAAAGAGTGGCTGGGCTCTCCCTTAGAGATAGGGTGAGAAGCTCGGTCATCCGGGTGGGGCTCGGAGTAGATCCGCTGCTCCTCCACATCGAGAGGAGCCAGTTGAGGTGGCTCGGACATCTGGTCAGGATGCCTCCTGGATACCTCCCTGGTGAGGTTTTCCGGGCACGTCCAACCGGGAGGAGGCCTAAAGGTAGACCCAGGACACATTAGAGGGACTATGTCTCTCATCTGGCCAGGGAACGCCTTGAGATTCCAACGGAGGAGCTGGCCCAAGTGGCTGGGGAGAGGGAAGTCTGGGCCTCTCGACTTAGGCTACTGCCCCCACTACCTGACTCCGGATAAGCGGATGAAAATGAATGAATGAATGAATGAACGAATGAATGAATTAATGGATGGATGGATGAAAGTAGGTGGACTTTTCCACAATATACCTTTAAGATGGAGGTCTGACAACTCATAATAAATAAAAAAAAACATTTCTTTATTTCTATTTAAATATTGTGTAGAATACTCTGTATGCTCCCTAGAGTCCAATCTGTTAAGGAAAGAAAAGCATAAATTTCTTTTGTGGAAATCTATAGAATGATGCACAGATCTGCATCAATAAATTACCATTTTTTTTCATTGAAAATAAATTTAAAATGTGGGGTTGTCTTATAATCGGGGTCTAAGCACTTACACATGCTGATATTTGTCTGGGGTCATTGCACTCCCGTAACAGCAGACGGCGCCAAGCTGTATGTTCTCAATAGGAGAAAAAAATGGAGACCAGAGGTCTAGGGCAGAGTGGACCGAAAGTGGAGCAAGTTAACAAGCTATAGGGCAGAGTTATGCAAACTTTAAGATGACGGTGGTTAATTCAGCAGAGGCATCAAACATTGCATGTATAGATGTATTGGATGGCAGTGAGGATGACGTTCTGGGAGGAGTCGGCAGGTGGAGCGATCTGATGGTACACCAGGACCACAGCAGCATGAGTAAGAATGAGAGTGAGTGAGTACAGAGAGGTAGAGGGCATCTGAATAAAAGCCTCATTTGACTTTTGATTTCCCGTGTCAACAAGGTTCTGATAGTTGGCAATAAAATGGTATTTTTGCTCAAGTTGTAACAGGAAATAATAAAACGGAGCACAACACTCCTGTTCTTAGATCCCTACATTGGTTACCAGTAAACTAGAGAATAGGGCTGGGCGATTTGAACCAAAACTTAAATCTCGATTTTTTTTAGCTGAATTCCGATATAAGACATATATCTATATTTTTCCTCCTGTAAAATATTTACAAGTTAACTCACTTCAAGCTGTCTTGAGAAATTATACACATGAATCAGTAGATTAAATGCATACAAATGTATTGATTCTTGTCACACTTTAACCTTAGTGCCTATTCTCTACCAGTCTGAGCTTTAGAAACACAACTACAGCTGTCTGCTAGCACACACACACACACACACACACACACACACACACACAC